GTCATCCGGCAGGTGAAATGCCAAGAATCTGAATTAGAAGGAAGGGCATGAGAGATTGGGAGCAGAAGAAGGTTAGAGTTGGGGGTCTGAGGATCTTGAAGCCTATGATTTCAGGGATGGAGTAGTTTTGATGAGGTCAAGAGGAGGTGGCCATGTGAATGGGAGACGAAAGTGGAGTGGACAAGAGTATCGACCTAGTCCAGGAGGTCCCAGAGGTGTTGGGAGTAGCACTGACATGAGGTCCCCAACATGATGCTTGAGTCTGCCACAGAGAAGAGGACGTCGAGACAGATGCCAAGGTCCTGTGTGAGCAAAGAAAGCACAGCAGGGCATGAGGGAAATAACCCAGGTGAGGAGAGCAGGAAGGTAGAACAGGAGGAACAGTTACAAAAGGGAGGGCAGGGGGGCGGTGTGGAATGAGGCAGATGCCACACTCTCGTAAGGGAGAATGAGTGGTTTTGCCAGACTTTGCTGGGCAAAGGGGATGGCATCCCTGGTGTGTGTTAGAGGACCCCGAACTCACTCACAACAAGGTGGAGAATCTGAGAGGTGTGTTTCTGCTGGTATGGGGCTCCAGAGGACACAGCAAGCCCCCTGGGAGGGAGGTGGAGAGAGAGGAAGAAGGAGGAGTTGGGCAGTGTTCTTGGGAATGATATACTTTATTACTGCTTACGGGGGCCCCTCATTCCCTTCAGTCTCGCCTCTTCAAATTCAGCCTTTACCAGAGCGGCAAGACACTTCTAAAGCACAACTCTGGTCCTGCCTTTCTGCCTCATCGACACTCAGGGGCTGCCCTTGCCCTCAGGGTAAAGTTCCTGCTCTTTGGCCTGGTACCATAAGGTCCTTTTGGAAAGACCCCATCTGCTGCCCTCTTCCCCACCTCTCCACCTCTCTCATGCAAAATATCCACAACGCAGAACTACTTACAGCACTAAGGGCAACATGATGCAGCAGGTCTCCGGGCCCTTGCACCTGGCATTCCCTCTGCCTGGAACGCCTTTTGATCATGTGTGCCTAGAAAATGCCAACAAATCTTTCAAGGATTTCTTCCCTGAAGAAGCCTTCTCAGATTCCCTCAAGGAGTCACAGTCACCCCTTACTTTGTCCCACCACTCTGCCTCATTTACCCTTTCACTAGGCTCTTGAGTCTGCCTTCCTCACTAAACCAGGAGTTCCTTAGGAAGACAGACAGTATGATACTCATTTCTCTAACCTCCATTTCCAGCCCTGTGCCTGGGATACAATAGTGCTCAGTTGATATCTAATAAAGGCACTAACCAAATTATAGCTAATAAGAAGAGCCAGCATGTACTAAGTACTTACTATAATTCCTAAGCTTGTGCTAAGCTCTTTAAATGCATTATCTTAGGTCATCCCTATAAGAACTGTGGTGGGTTAATATTGTTACTATACCTATTTAACAGATGAAGAAACTGAGGCTCAGGGAGGTGAGGTGACTTGCCCAAGGACATTAAGCTAGTCAGTGGTAGAGATGGGCTTCAAACTCAGGGCCAATTCTAGTGTCCATGCATTTAGCCATTATGCTATATTGCCTCCATGAAAGAAAGGATGACAAGATCTAGCCGGGACAATGGCTCATGCCTGTAATCCCAACAATTTGAGAGGCTGAGGTGGGCAGATCATTTGAGATAAGGAGTTCAAAACTAGCCTGACCAACATGGTCTCTACTAAAAATACAAAAAAAAAAAAAAAAATTAGTTGGGCGTGGTGGCGTGCCTGTAATCTCAGCTACTTGGGAAGCTGAGGCAGGAGAATTGCTTGAACCTGGGAGGCTGAGGTTGCGGTGAGCTAAGATCGCATCATTGCACTTCAGCCTGGGCAACAGAGCAAGACTTCTTCTTCTTCTTCTTCTTCTGAAAGAAAGAAAGAAAGAAAGAAAGAAAGAAAGAAAGAAAGAAAGAAAGAAAGAGAGAAGGAAGGAAGGAAGGAAGGAAGGAAAAAAGAAAGAAAGAGAGAAAGAAAAAAGAAAGAAAGAAAGAAAAAAGAAAGAAAGAAAGAAAGAGAAAGAAAGAAAGAAAGAAAGAAAGAAAGAAAGAAAGAAAGAAAGAAAGAAAGAAAGAAAGAGAGGGAAAGAAATATTTCAGAGAACAACAGAGTTATGGAGACTAGAGTTTGCAGGGGAGCCTGTAAATTGACCATAACAAAGTCAACTTTTTCTAGAGTAACAGTAATGATCACAGATGCCATTAGTTTCCAATTCAAAAGCCTTCTTCAGTGCTGACAGAGTTCTGCTTTTGTCTGTGAAGACTCTTCCACAGGTAATTCAGGTAAATCCTTACTGGTCTAAACTAATTTTAGCAGCGTGATCCCTCTTGTCTGTGATTGGTTCATTGGTGGGCATGTAATCCCATTAACTATTAAAAAGAGACAGCTGGACTTAATTGCTGGACTTGGTGGGTGAAGATGTGGTGTCTGGAGCTCCTGCAGCCATCTTTTCTCATGAGGGCTGTGACCAGCACACTGAGGGTGCTAGAATGAAAATATGGGAAAGAACTTGATTCTTGATGGGGTTGTTGAGTTACTAGACCATTCCTATATCAGCCCTTCTTGATGCTCAAATAATAATTCACTCCTATTGTCTAAGCTAGTTTGAATTGGTCTTCTATTTCTTATAGCTGAAAGTATTGTGATACAGTGACAATGAAGGTGGTCAAATAATTCTTGTCTTGCAAAGTGACATAAAGTGTGAGGAACTTTCCTAATCTCTAGGAGCTACAACTCTGGCCCAGGTCCACTGACCTTTGGTCTCTAATGAGAATGATGATCTTGGCCTGGGTAATTACAGCTAGTGACCTGTAACATCATCTGAGTAAGCCTGCAGGACCTACAAGGGTACAGTCCTGGTCATCTGGAGGTTCAGTTTACTGAATGTTGGTTAAGTATGTCCATGGTGCTGGGATCATAAGGACAAATCAGACACAGTCCCTGACCTTAAGGAACTCACACTGCAGTGGAAGAGACCATCACTGACCAATGATGGGTGATGTACAGGTCTACACAAGGTTTGGAGGCTGACATTTGAGGTGGTCAGGCGAAATTTGGTACAGACCTTTTGAAGGATGGCACAAGAAGGATTAGAGAAAAAGACATTTCTAAGCAGAATGCACAGCATATGCAAATTTAGAGCAACACAACTTTCCCAGGGAAACTACTCATTTGGCATAACCTGAACGGGGCTGGTCACTTGCAGGTTGTGTGTCTCTGAGCAATTGACTTGTCTCTGAGGCTCTGAATTTACATTTATGAGAAAAAATGGGGGGGGGGGAAGAAAAAGAAAAAAGAAAGGAATTACAATGGTTGCGAAATTAGGTAACAGAATATATATGCAAAACACAGAGCTTGGCATACATTAGATGCACAAGAAACATTCTTTCTTATTCACCCATTATTGTCACATGGTTCTAATTCATTATCTTCTGTGACCCAGGTGGCTTTCTTCCCTTTCTCACTCATTCCTGAGCCTAGTAGCTAGGCCCCCCAACTTCCACAGACTTTTCCTCAGGCAGGAAACCCGAGCCCACTGCCTGGCCTAGGACAGCTTCTAGGGCTGTGTGGTTTGTGTTATTTCTTCTCTTTTCTCTCTCTCTCTCTCTCTTTTTTCCTAAATGCAACAAAATAAAACCAAACAAAAAGCCCAATGCCTGGCGTGGCTTGTCAGAGAGTTATGCAAGTGTGTAAAAAAATAAAATAAAATAAACATTGAGTTTTCGGCATTTGGGGCTGTTTGATTAGACACGGAACAGAGCCAAGGGCCGGTTAGATGCAGGGAAGGCTCAGGGCAGAGGGGAGAGGGGAGGGACTTGAGAGGGGGTTGGAGGTTGGAGGGGGCCCCTGGACCAACTCGGAAATGGCTGTTTGCCTCCTGCAAACTTGGCAATGCTCTGGCTGAATGAACCCAGACACTGGGCATTTCGAACCCAACTGCTCCACTTTTTCTGGCTACCCACCATCCCTGTTCCCTGGCCATCAGGACACTCTAGGGGTCATTACATCCATTCTCCTGTCATCGTAAATGACCCTGTGCCCTTAAACTCAATAGTCAGGGTCCCCCCTTCTCTCCTAAGAGGGAGATTCCACAGCCTGTCTTGATTACTCACCCCCCCTACACACAATCAGTACATCTTTTCTGCTCTAGCTTAACTCCCACTAACTATAGTTTTAGCCCATTTTCCTTTCCCAATCTGAAGTGAAGCTGGAGAACAGCTGTTTGCCACTCTAAGAAGTGAGTCTCTTTCCCCCTCTTCTTCAGGCTTGACTTCAACATCATCTGGGTCACTGCAGGTGTCTGTAGCTGTTCAAGACTCATTCCACAAACATTTATGGAGTTCCTACCATTAACCAGGAGTTTGTAGCCTTCATTTCATTGAACCCTCAAAACAGATGAAACTTTGCGATTCAGAGAGGTTAAGTAACCTAGGCATGACCACACAGCTGGTAAGTGATAGAGCCAGACAAGAATCTAAGTGTTATTCCATGATCTCCCTCACTCTCACCTACCAGCTGCCTCTGGAGGTGTCCTCACCTCGGTGCCCAGGATCTGATAGCCTTGGTATGTCTTCTGTACTGGGAAGATGCACAGATTTGACCCTGAAGGGGGAGAGGGTGCGGTCAGGACCACCAGGCCCTGTTGAGCCTGTTCCTTGTCACTTTCCAGGTTCCTGATGGGGAAACTGGGATTTTCACGAGGGTCTCCGGCCCCAGTTCTGACCCCAAGATGAGCGGAGTTGTTGCGGAAGCGGAGTTGTTGCGGGTTCTCTGGCTGCGTGGAATCCCCGGGGCGCGGGGCGGGGCAGGGGACAAAGACAGAGGGTCTGCCCCACGGTCCCGGGGACTTGTCCCTCTGCCAGTCCCGCGCTCGGAGCGCAGGGCGCCAGCTTTGGGCAAGGACGTGCGGACTCCCGGGCCGGCGCTCCAGTCCATTTTTTCTTGCGGATCCCTGGAAGGGGGGCCGGCTCGCGGGTGGGACTGCGAAGGGGGGGATTCCCTCCCTCGTGCTCGCAGAGGACTGGCCCCTCTCCGGGCTGGGAGCTCCGGCCGAGTGGAGGCGCGACGGAGAGCACCAGCGCAGGGTAGAGAGCCCGGAGCGACCGGCCAGAGTAGGGCATTCGATCGGGTACTGCAGAGAACCAGGGCCGCTCCGGGCCGCCCCGGAGGACCGATGCGCCGGGTGGGGCGCTGGCCCCGAGGGCGTGAGCCGTCCGCAGATTGAGCAACTTGGGAACGGGCGGGCGGAGCGCAGGCGAGCCGGGCGCCCAGGACAGTCCCGCAGCGGGCGGGTGAGCGGGCCGCGCCCTCGCCCCTCCTGGGCCTGCCCCCGCCGCGACAGGCAGCACGAAGGTGAGTCCCCTCGTAGCTGCCCCGTCCTTCTCCCCAGCGCCCCCTTCCCCGGGAGCTGGGGCGCGGCGGGCCCTCCCGTCGGGGCTGGTTCGAGCTGGGTGCGGGGGGAGACAGCGAAAGGAAGGGGAATGTGGTCGCTCTCCGGTCGGTGATCGGGAGAGGGCACCTCCTGCACCCCTTCCTGTAAGTCTGCCGCCCCCGTCGGCCCTCAATCCAGCGGGCAGCCCCCTCCCCTCGAACTCCCCATCATCCCGCAGCCCGGGTGATCGTCCTCACTTGCAGTCCTGAATTCTCCAAGTCCACCAGCCCTGTTTACACCCCGCCTCCAATCCAGAAGTTCTTGATCCCGGGTCGCACTGGTTTGGGTTCCCCCAAGTTCCACGGTCTCTGGTAACCCCCACCCCAGTCCACAGCCTGGGCCTGGGTTCGACGTGGCAGGCGGCATGCGCTGTGGCCCCCGGTGCGCAGCGAAGTGGCGCGGCTCCCTGGCCCTCGGGGTCTGGCGCTCAGGAACCGAAGGTATCGCTTAGTTGGGGAGAGGTGGGAGCTGTGTTCGCCCGGGACTCGCAGGAGGGCCGGGACGGACTTGGGGTGAGGGTGCTTGGGGGCGGGAGTTTTCTTGTGAAACTGGCCTCTCAGACGTGGACAGCTCTCTTGGCTCTTGAGGGCCAGCCGGGGGACCTCAGGTCCGCGTCTCCCTCGGCACCTGTTGGGGCCTCTGGGGGATGGTGGGGGAGGGAATAAGAATGTGCGCGCTTGCGGGGGTGATGGAGGGTTGAAGAAGCCATCCTCCGCTGCCCTTGCTTTTGGGGGCGGGGGCACGGCCCCCGCACCTGGCTTGGCTCCGACCGACAGGCTAATCCCGACAGGTCGGACAGGCACATACTTGGTCCCGCCCCCCGCCCGCAATTCTTCTGCCCCCGCCTGCCAGCCTGCTAGGAGGCCAAAACTCTGCAGCCCGCAGCCCGCCTGGGGAGGGCTAATGAGAAATTATCTGGATAGTTTACATTTTTGGGTCTGTATCGGACACCTGATGGAGTACCACTTTATTCTGAAGGTGTTGCAGGCAAGAAGGTGAAGGTGATTCCAGCCCCGTCCCTGGGCTGAGTTTCTGCCCTCAGCTCCACCTCCAGCTGTGTTCCCTTCCCCAACCTGTGTCCTCCCCTCTGAGGCCCATGTGGCCTCTCTCTTTGGTCTTCCGTCCCAGCTCTGCCTCTGCCCCCAGCCCCGTCCCCACTTTGCAGGTCCACCCCACAAGCTGGATTGTGCCTCACACTCCGCAGCTCCCTGCGGGTTGCCCTGCCCTCCCCACACCAAATCCTGGGTAGCAAACCCGAGGGCTGGTCCCTAACTAGGTCTGTAACCCCTGACCCTTAACCACTCAGGGCCAGGTCTCTTCCCCTGTAAAATGGAAATAATTCTACCTTCCTTCTTCCATTGTGAGGAGTAAAGAAAGACCTGGCACATGGCAGGTGGAGGGAGGCATCCAACAAGTGTGAATCCCTAACCCCCCACAGTGGCAAAGAGAAATACCCTTTCTTACCCCTACCAATACCTGAGGCACTACCAGCAGTCCCCATTCTATCTGTGTAGAGCGAGCCTCAAAACATAAACTGCCAGTGCCATATAACCCAAGGCCCAAAGGAAATCAGACAGAGGACTCTAAGAGAAATGAGACAGGCTGCTTAAAAGGGAGTCGTCAGCTCCTATCTCCTCTCTCAGCCCTAGTCCATGCTATCCGTGTCTGCAAGTGTAAGTGCCTGTGTGTGCACATATGGGGTCAGGGACTAGACGCAGGAACATGGAGCCACTGAGGCAGGGACCTGTGGCCCTCTGGGGCTTGGTGCTGCAGGGTTCCTAGTCTAAGACCTGTCCAGCATTTCAAATCAGATTTCATATAAGATCCTGGATTTTCCACTCCTCTTTTGAAAAATCAGAAGATCTGTAAACAATCAGTCAGAGCTGAACGGCATATGCTCCCTTTAGATGGGTCATTTACCCTCTAGTTTACCCCCTCCACATCCAGCTTCAATCGTACATGTCATTTGTACCCCCTGGTGTAGAGGAACTCTTAGCCCCTTTACAGGGTTGATTCTATATGTACCTTTTCAAAAAGTGCTTGCAACTCTTCCCATCCCAGAGGTGAGGGAGGCCAGTGTCACTTGCTTCAGTGAAATTTACATCTGGATCCTCCTTACGATTTCCCAGCTGAGATTGTGGTTTCCTGGTGATTCAGGTGGGAGTGGGCCAGAAGATCAACGCTGGCAAGGACTGGGTGAGTGTGGCAGGGGTCAAGCTGAAAACTAGGACCTGGGAGGATGGAGAAGGAATTCAGAGGGAGAGGAGAGGGAGGAAAAAGAAGGGAGCTAACATTTGCTGAGCACTCACCCTCAATTGCCAGGCACCATGACAGGTGGGCACAAGGAATGCAGAGATACATAAGGGAAATTCTGTGCCCCCAAAAAAACGCCAGGGATATTGATCACGCAGTGAGTCCAAAGTCTTTCAGATCCAGGGTTAACACCAAGTTTGTCTGATGCAGTGTTTGTCAACTGTAGGGATTCATGGAACAGATCTGCCAGGGATTCTCAGACCTTAGTTTGAGAAATGCTGCAATTAAAGGCAAATCCTATCACTCTGAGTGATCGCTTTGGTGTCAAGGCAATCAACCATAAAGATAAATGCAAATATGGAAATTGCATAACAGTGCCCAGTATTAAGGTTAGTATCCAGATGATACAGAACATGTTCATATTGCCGTTTGAATGATCATTAGAATATAGACACAAAATGAAGCTTTGATCACAACAAATACAGCAAATATTATTGAGTCATCACTATGTGCCCAGCACCATTCTAAGCAGTTTTATGTATTAAGTTATAAACAACAATAACCTTCTTTCAGATAAGAAAACAGGCTCAGACCAGCTAAGCAAGGTAACACAGCTAATAAGTAGGAGAGCCAATATTCAAAGCCAGGCAGTCTGACTCTGAAGTTTATGTCCATGACTATCACGCTGTACAGCCAGCCTCTGAGACTACATTCTTGGGCCTGAAGACCCCAGTTTGATAAACTCAACTGGACATCTATAATTTGTGAGGGATAGAAGTGTGTAGTGGGGGCTGGGGAGGATACAAATACTTTGGTAAATCAGGCAGGGAGTACTGGAGGGGCGTGCAGAGGTTGGCAGCTGATGGGCATTTGGGGATGGCTGGGGGCATCTCCGCTGGCTCCGGCCACAGCACCAGGTGGGATCCATCAGCCTCATGTAAACACTTCTCACAGGCAGCTTAACCACTTGAGTGTGTCTGGCCTTCAAAGCCAGCGGGAGAGGCCAAGGAGGGAGGTACTGAACTCCCTTAGGGGATAATGATTTATCTCCCGTGCAGGTGGGCTTTGCTGGGGCCTCCCTGAGAGGTGAGGGGGTGGACTAGCACTGAAGAGCCTAGAGGGGAAAGGATTAGGATGGGGGTGGGAGGGGCATCTCCACTCCAGCACCTCAGATTTCTCATTCCTGAGCCTGAACTCTCTGACTCTCAGCTAGCCTGTGACATAGTCATGCTTGTCCCCATTCTATAGACATGAAACTGAGGTTCAGCGAGGCTGCATGACTTGTCCAAAGGCATCTAGCCAGTGGAGGGGAAGGTGATGGCTCCCTGGCATCTACAGAGCCTTTGTGCTATTGACCTGCATGCTCTGTTGTGCTGTGGGTGTGTGTGGGAGAGTGTGGGGTGTGCGTGGGCAGGTCGCTGCTATGAAAGAACCTCGGGAGCATTGGAGCATGAGTGTGTGATCCCGTGAGGGGGCAGCAGGGTTTTCATTCTCACTCCCAGGTTGGGCTCAGATGTCCAACTTCCCAGACACATCTGATTCAGGGGAGGGACCGGCTCCCCTGCCCCCATCACCCCAGCCGGCCAGCAGGTCCAGAGACCTGGCTCTCGCTGGGCTGGGGGATTATCCCCATTCTCTGTGTCTCTGGCCAGGGCGGGCATTGCTGCCTCTTTTATCCTCTCACAAAGGCCAGGCCCGCCGGGCCTGCTGTGTCAGAGTTTCTGTGGCCGGGGGAAGCCTTACTTCCTTTTCTCCCGCCAAGCCCAGAGAGCCACGCAGAGTCTGCCAGCTTGCCGGGGGCCACTGCTCTAGCTCCAGGACAGGTGAAAGGCACATGGGTGACTCAGCCCCAGGAACAAAAGGCTGAGGGGTCACTCATGGAAGGACAGAGAGAGAGAGCTCCTCTTCAAGAGAGAGGATATTACTGCAGCATGAGGTCTGTAGGGTAGACTTAAGGAAGGACTTCCAGTTAGAGCTGGACAACAGGAAGCAGGGGTGGGACCAACTGGCTCCCGTTATTGAGAAATCATCAGTGATCCACAAGTTTGGTTTGAATGTCCGCCATATTCTGGCTACACAGGTTGCCGGCTCCAGTCCCAGGTTAGGGAGTTCTGCAAGATAGGAAAAGGAGCGGATTTCTTCTAGAAAGGTGCTAGGTAGGTAACTCATAACGTCCAAACATTTTGAGCTCCCAGTCTTCTGGGTAGGGCAGGAGGCATAGGTGGGAGGGTTCATAGTACTACAGAATTAACCCTTCTTTCTCCTCCCCTCACAGGTTGGTTTTTGGAGTAGTCCCTGCTGATGTGACAAAAAGATCTCTCATGTGATATTCTGAGGTACCTTTGAGGAAGTCTCTCTTTGAGGACCTCCCTTTGAGCTGATGGAGAACTGGGCGCCCCACACCCTCTCTGTCCCCAGCTGAGATTATGGTGGATTTGGGCTACGGCCCAGGCCTGGGCCTCCTGCTGCTGACCCAGCCCCGGAGGTGTTAGCAAAAGCCGTGTGCTGTCCACCCTCCCTGAGACCACCCCTCCGACCAGGGGCCTGGAGCTGGCGTGTGACTATGCGGCTTGGGCTGTGCGTGGTGGCCCTGGTTCTGAGCTGGACGCACCTCACCATCGGCAGCCGGGGGATCAAGGGGAAAAGGCAGAGGCGGAGTGAGTAATGGAGCATGGTGGGCCACAGCTGGCCTTGGAAGTGGGAGGGGGCCACCCGGGAACTAGGGGTCTTCAGGAGTTTTATTCCATGATGACCCTTGCAGATTTCCACTCTGTCTATTACAGCTTTGTAGATTACTCAGTAGATGATCCTGTTTGTGGATTATTCAGTTGGTGGATTAATTCGCTGAGATTACCCACTCTGTAGATGACTCACTTTGTCTGTTTTCCCCTTTGTAGACTCTGCTTTCTAGATTAACCCCTCTCTTGTGAGGATCCAGTTTGTGGATTACGCTTTTGTGGATTATGTGCTTTGACATAACACCAGCTTTGTGTGGTATCCATGGAGATGCTTCCCCAAACCCCCTGCCCTGGGGCTCCTTTTTTTTGGCTAAAGTGCAGCCATCAACCCTTCTGGGTTAGGAGCTCTGCACAGCTTAGCACTGGGTAACAGGGCTTCCCCTGCCCAGATCATGGGGCAGGAACAGTGGAGTAGGGAGGATCAGGAGACTATCCACTGCTGTGACTTTTAAACCACGCCCAGTGGGATTCAGGGAGCTACAGTGGCATCGAAGGGGAGACAAGCAGGCAGGGGTCTGGCCTGACCACCCTTCAAACCAGAGCAGTCTCACTTTTCCCTGCTTTTGGTAATGAGCATCCACATGAGATGTCGTTGGAAGAGAGGGTTCTCATAGCTTAAAAAGAAAACCAAAATCCTATCATTGTATAGATGCTAAGAAAGGGGAAGAAACAGGTCTAACGAGATACAGTTGATGTTGGAACCCAGGTCTCCTAATGCCTGTGGGCCCAGTCTTCTTGAAAGCCGAATTTGATGGAGTTCAAGGGTAATCTGTCCCCAGCCCCTTGATAGGCACTCCTCAACCTCTGCTTAAGGTCTCCAGTGATGGGACCCTAGTGCTGTAGGGGTGGCCACTGTGTGTGAGGGGCCCACACGAGGGAGAGGGTGGGGGACTCCAGAGTCCCAAGTCCTCATCTGTCTTTTGACATCTGCCATGAGAAGATGCCGTGCCCACAGGTAGGAGGTCTTCCTGAAGTCTAGCCCAGCCCCCTCTTGCTTCATGTTTCCCTGCAGACGGAGGCCCCCCAGTAAAGGTTGAAAAGCAGTGGGGTTTTGCCGGGGCTTCACGGGAGCAGCCAAGGCCAGGACTCAGCGCAGGGAGAGAAGCTCAGAGAACTGGTGAAGCTGAAAATCCCTGGCTTAACAAACAATTAGAGACAGTTAGGTTTAATCAGCAGCAAGGCCTTGATTTTCCTCCCTTCTCATCTGTTGTGGCCAGTATTTTGGACTCCATGGGCCAGATGCGGTTTAGCGGTTTATAATCAGTCTCCTCTATTTCCGAAATGAGAGAGAGAGAGACAGAGAGAGAGACAGAGAGAGAGAATGGGAGGAACCATTCACATTCAGGCAACGTGCACGTGTGCTTAACGCTGACCCTCACGCATGCAGAGCCTCATGCCCGGCTAAACCAGAGGTCACGGGACCTGAGTTCAAGTCTGTTGTATTGAAAAGGAAAGGAAGTACTAGACTTGGCATCAGAAAGGGCCTGGTCCTAGCGATGGTAAATCTCCTGCAGCAATTTTGACGTGCTTGCTCACTTTTCATACGGCCACATCTAACAGCCATGGCAGCACATGAGCCAGTTTTTATTACCAAGTGATGTAACAGACATCCTTGATGGTAAGAGGCAAGGGTTGGGAGAGGTGTGGAGACAGGCTCAGGGGTGCAGGGAGGGATGAAGGTTGTGCTGTTTGTCAATACTTGTCACATAACAGCCATAGTCATCGCAATCAGGAAGCTGAAATGTAATGTAAAGGAGGATAGTAAGGCTTACATGAGATTTTATATATATATATATATATAGAGAGAGAGAGAGAGAGAGAGTTTTGTTTTATTTTGTTTTGTTTTGTTTTGAGATGGAGTCTCGCTCTGTCACCCAGGCTGGAGTGCAGTGGCACGATCTTGGCTTACTGCAACCCCCGCGTCCCAGGTTCAAGCGATTCTCCTGCCTCAGCCTCCCAAGTAGCTGGGATTACAGGCACGTGTCACCATGCCTGGCTACTTTTTGTATTTTTAGTAGAGATAAAGTTTTGTCATGTTGGCCAGGCTGGTCTCGAACTCCTGACCTTAGGTGATCCACCCACCTCAATAGATATATATTTTTAACACCTTTGTAAAACATCAAGTTCTGCGTAGACTCTGGGTGCAAATCATTATTATATAAACAATGTGTAGACCATTTTGCCTTAGGGATTCTGGGGAAGTAGAGAAGGGAAGAAAGAAGACCAAGACACCTGTGTGTGCCTGGCCTCTCGACAAGACAAGCTTGGAAGGGCACTGGGTAGACCTGGGGATGGGGGTAGGTGTGCTATGTATGAGCCTCAGGGCTGTTGACTCTGGCTGACAGTCCTCAGCTTCAGGGTAGGAGGGCCACCAGAAGCCACTCAATCTAAACCTCATTCTGAGCTATTATACACCAGTTTTGAAGCCAGACATGTCTGATCTCAGAGTCTGAGTGATGGTCTGCCTGCATGGAGCGAGAAAAATTGAGCAAAGAACTTCTCTTCAGCTGTGAGTGGTGAAGTCCCCTTGAAGTTCCCCTCCTCCATTCATTGAGGACCCTGCCCCTCCCTGAACTCCTGTTCACTAAGCCCCTTGTCTTCTTGCTAGCCCTCACCCCTGATCTGGGGTCCCTGCACCTTCCTGAGCCCTCATTCCCACTCATCCCTTGCACTGAGTGTGCTCCTTCCTGAGCCCCTTCTCCTCTCTGATTCTTGGGCCCCATGTCTCAGTCCTGCCTCCTAGGAAGCCTCCATTCCTTCATTGAGCCTTGACTTCTCCAGAAGCCAGGAGCCCGCTTTGTGCCTCTTCTCACGGCCCCGTCCTCCATCCGGAGCCTCTGCCCCTGCTGCACTGACAGCCTTACAGTCCCTCATCCCGCACTGAATCCCCGTTCCTTCCTTGGCTCATTCCACAAATGTTTATTGAGATCCTGCAAGCTGGCCCGGATCTCAAGAGATGAATCTCACGGGCGGAGGCTGCAAGCGAGTGGGGGAAGACAGAATGTCAGTCCAGTTCAGGAATGCTGCACGGGAGAAGACCTGAGGGCATGGAGAGCTCCGGGGAGTTGGGAGGAGGCACAGAGTGTTCCTTTAGGAAGTGGGGTGCAGCTAGGAGTAGCTGGGGAAATGAATTATCAAGGGGGTTCTGGGGAGCCCTAGGATTTCCACTGGAGAAGCTGTGCTCATATGTTTTCTGTTGGAAAGAAGGGTTCTGCTGCTAAACAAGCCATCCAGAACCCACTAGGACAGAACAAGGAAGCTGTCTGAGGCTGAGGGGAGGGTCCAGGTAGAAGACACTGCAGGGTAGAGGTCAGGTCATTAAGCTCTTCGCACCTGCCAGGCTGAGGAGTTTGGACGTGGCCTGACTCCAGCTACAGTGGGTAAGGAGCCACTGAGGCTTTCATCAGGGAGCCCAGAGCCCAGCTGCTGGGTGGGGGAGGTGGCTTGAGGTGGGAGGCAAACAGCCCAGGTAAGAAAAAGTGAGGATCTAAACTAAGCTCACAGTTGAGAGCTTAGTTTAGAATCCTGGGTCTGGCTGGGCATGGTGGCTCACGCCTGTAATCCCAGCACTTTGGGAGGCTGAGGCGGGTGGATCACCTGAGATCAGAAGTTCAAGACCAGCCTGCTCAACATGGCGAAAGCTTGTCTGTACTAAAAATACAAAAATTAGCCAGGAATGGTGGTGTGCACCTGTAGTCCTGGCTACTCGGGAGGCTGAGGCAGGAGAATGGCTTGAACCTGGGAGGCGGAGTGTGCAGTGCACTGAGATTGCACCATTGCACTCCAGCCTGGGTGCTAGAGCGAGACGGTTTCAAAAAAAAGAGAAGAATCCTGGGTCCTACCAGCAGGACATACCCAGGGCTTTCTGAACGTGCAGGTCTCAGAAAGCCACAGGGATAGATCCACCTCCTGGGACAGCGTGTGGCCTGAGAGGGGCCCTGGCCTACTCACTTCCTCAGTCTCCTGGCTGAGGCCCTGCTCCCTATCCTCTTGCCCTCGCCAACTGAACTCAGGTCTCTCTTACCAAACCCAGTTCCTCCAAGACTAGATTCCACCCCAAAACCAAGATCATCACTCTCTGGGTCATGGTGAGTTCTCTCCATCCACCACTGTCCCTGACCCATCTCACTTGAGTCCCTCATCCATGTTCCATCCTGGTCCCTCCACTGTAGTGAATCTTCATTAAGATCCATCCATACACCACCCCTCATCTCAAGCCTCTGTCTCACTCACCATATCCTCAACCTTATAACCTTGTGGAGCCTTATCCTTTACTGAGCTCCCATTCAGAAATGATGGGCTCTGCCTGCCGAAGCTCTTTCTAGTGAGAGAAAGAGACACGTTAGCAGATAATATCAATATAAGGTGACGTTCGCCATGACAGATTCAAGTACTAGGGGTGTGGGAACACATAGAAATACTCCACTGAGACTCTGCAGGGAGGTGAGATCAGGAAGACTTCCTGAAGGAGGTGACTTTAGTTCTGAGGCTTGAGGGAGTTGGTCAGACTCAAAAGGAGGTGGAGAGTGTTCTGGGCAGAAGGACCAACTTGAACAAAGGCACACAGGTGTGAGATAGTGTGACGTGTCCAGAGAAACAAAAATGGTTTGATATTGCTTAGGAGTGGTGCTGAGGGGTAAGGTGGATGGGATGAGCCCACAAAAGCTTTTAAGGTCAGGCAAGGAGCTGGGTCTTAATTCTGTAGGTGATAGGGAGCTATTGATAGATAAGAGGAAGGAGTGTAAAACAATCAGATTTTTAGTTTAAGAAAGACTCCTGGGGATGAAGAAATTGGGAACTGGAAGAAATGAAGCCCCTAGGGAGGAGGGGCAGCGATCCAGAACCATTCTTCAAGGGGTGTGGGACTGAGCTGCCCTGGAGCATTGCCTCATCATAGCCACAGCAACTTAAAAGAGCTT